CCCAAGTATAATTTTTAATTTTTCTAATTTCGACCAATTTCCAATCTGGTGGGTTATACAATTTGGTGGGAAAAAACTGGAAAACAAACGATCGACAACTTTTCCCTTCTAGCATTACTATCTAAAAACGTTTAATTACAAATCATTCTTTTTGTGATTTTTTAGGTGAAATTTAAATAATGTACCAATCAGAGCTAGTGACAGCACCATAACTTCTTTACTAATTGAATTTGCTTTACATCGCTTTATCAAATTAAAAGTTTCTTCAAGAAAATGTAGAAACATTTTTTTTTATAATTTGAATGAATATTCGATCGGGACACAAATAGCCTTATCTAAATAATAAAATTCTATAAGATTTCAAACATCTGAAAACAACCGGTAGAACTAGAATCAACCAACAGTAATTTAATAAGCAATGTTAAAATCTAAATTAGATCAAGATTAGATTTAAGCAACATTTTTTGGGCTGTGCGAGAGGGTAATAAAATTTAATAAGGGAAAAACGACAGAGAAGATGAGGGTGGTGGTGGGGTTGGTCCTCTTTGAAAACGATAGCTTTTTGTTATTTTACTGGTTTCTTTAAAAAGGCAGTCAAGCGTTGAGACTCCTTGATTAACACGAAGCTGCTTTATTCCAAAAGTATATATACACATTTTCAATAATTTGAAAGATACTTTTTGAAAAGGCTTGCCAAAATCAACATTTCTAAATTTACTCCATCTTTGTATGGTTTTGCCAACTTCATTAAATAATCTCATCTCCTAGAAATATGCACATTTTCTTTTATTCGAGTCGTTTATATATTCCTGTTATTTTATTTCTTTTTAAATTTAAATTATATTGTGTTGTTCAAATTTTCATCCTTACTTGGTTTTATTTATAACTTTTTAAAAAAGTATAGATGATTTGGGTTATTGATATAAATTGTTTATTACAACATATGTAGGGATGAAGATTCGAAGTCATGACATTTTAATTGAAAATAGGTGCTTAAACTAGTTAAGCTAGGTGGAAGTTTACATTTTAGTTATTGATATTTAAAATTTAGTTGTTCAAAATTATTGTCATTCAATATTAAAATTATACTTAGCTAAAAATTTAGGCCAGAGAGATAAATCTTGGAAAATTAAATATTGTGAAAATAAATAAAGGGATAAAAAATGATTTAAAATAATAAATAAGAACCCCACACTATCTAAATAGGTGATAGATGCACGTTCTTAGTATTTACTTGAAACATGGATTGGTAGGCCAAAAAAAAAAAAGGCTAAAAATTAAATAAATTTGGTTCGGGTATGAAGAGAAAACATAGTGGGGCAAAAGATAGGGGGTTGGAATGAGGTAGACAGTGGTAAAACTAAAAGTGATGAAATGAAACTTGAATTTGTGCCTTGTCTCAAATAAACAAGGTGGCCACCATGAGTTCCAACACAGCAACATACTGTTGGGATCGCCTCGACCGACGAAAGCGAGTCCTCCATGGGCCCATTCCCCCTACCCTACACGCTGGGCCCATTCCCCAGGCCCACCCCAATTCCTCGTCGGCCCACTTCAAAAACATCCTCTCTCTTCCCTTCCATTTCCAACTCAACGGCTGCTGTTTGTTCTTGCTGCCTTTGGGCTTTAGGGAGAGACTAGAGACAGAAATTAATTGGAAAGTTAGTTTATTTTAAACTATTTTTGGAAGGACAATGGGATTGGGAGTTGGGGAGTGCCAAATTCAATAGTGGAATGTCTAGAGAGCATCAACTTATTAATTAGTGGCTCTTTGCCTCTACACTTGTGTTTTTCTCCTCCCCAAAATCAGTTGACTTCTTATACTCAATAACGCCTCTACACTTGTGTTTTCTGTGTTCAATTACCAACATTTAAAT